TCTCTGAAAGGTGGGACTAATGATATGATGCCACTAAATCACATCAAAACTGTCTGGGAAAGATTTGTAGTGTGTGATCTATCGAAGGTAGGGTGATTGGACCTGGATGAAGTAGAGCGACTCCCCCAGCTCTATCTCCAGAACCTTACCTTAGGTGCATGGCTTCCACCTCCAACCTCCTTGTGTCTTAGCTCTACCCTCCTGATACGCGCAGAGTCCAGCTGTAGCTCCTCTACAGACATCCCAGCTTGGGGAAGGCAAGCTCTGGAGTGGGGCGGACAAACCTGCGAGATCAACCATTTCAATGTTTTTCCTCAAATACACTTCTCATGACTAGTTACTGCACACAAGAGGTCTTTTAACTCTTGTTTTAAGTAGGCACAAACACGTCATAAACTGTGCAAATTAACACTAATCATGCTACCTGCTGCAGTCATCAGTCTCTCAAATGAAGGGTCCGTAGTAAACATTCCATTGCACTCCATTCGTGGACATTTCCAAAAGAAAACTGTCAACCAGATTACACAGAATGTACAAGAACAAAAAATAAAGAATGCTTACGCCGAACCACGACGAAATGAACGGACAAGACCCGGACGGACGAGCACCCCAATTTATGTACGCCAGAACCCCAACAAAACATCTAAGGGAGGAACCTAAGGCGCAGTATAAAAATGTCAAACTCTCCAACTCTTTTCCCTCAAACAAACCGAAGAATAGACAATGAGACAGTGAATGCCGTTTGTACCAGTACATTATAATTACCAAAGTTCTCCACAAATCATCTTAACAAAACAAGTGGCCAAACCAAAAAACACACAAATCTCTGAACACAAAATCTTGCCTAACAGAGATAAGAAAATAAACATACAAGACTCTTACCTACACTCAAATAAACAGGAGAAACGGATAAACCAAAGAAAAGTTAGTTGCACATCTCTGGAGATAGAATACAGCGTGCCTGCAAAGACCATCGTACGCCCCGCCGCGCTTCTACTTTCTTAAGTCTCCCCGCAAGGAAGACTGACAAGGTATACGATCAAAGTGCGAACACAGCACAACAGGACAGATACAACAGTGTTGAGTAGGAGAAGTCCGAGTCAGAGAGAGCGGCCGAGGAACTGCACGGCTGCAGTTAAATATCATCCCGTCTCCCCAGGTGAACAATCAGCCCTTGAAGGGTAGCCTAATCAGCTAACGGGACCACCTGCTTGCTCACATACACACACACACACACACACACACACAGACACACACACACACAGACACAGGAGGAGGGAAAAATCTCTACACACAATACACATAACGAGCAGGGTCGTAACATAACAAATTAACAATGTTTACATTTGACAAATGCTATATACTGTATTTAAAGTGGAGAGCTGTGCTGATTTAAAAGAGGTAGTGAGGAAAATAAATTAGCAACATGTGCAGGATTTAGCCTACAATAAAAAAAGGTCTAAAAAAATTAAACAAAAGTACATTTAAATCATATTCTCCTTTAGAAAGTGTCAGCTAAATCTAATGTAAGGCAGTTAAAATGGAAGTAAACAAATATATATTTAAAATGATAATGTATTATTGATGTTATTTATTATTATAAATAGTATATAATTATTTATTTGTATTCATTTCAATCAATTAATCAATTTGAACAATTATAATACTCCAATGTCTTTTCTATTGTGAGTTTGTATAAACTTGCTCGTAATGTCGATTTTAAGCTTTAATTTTGATTTGTATTCTTACTGTATATACGTGCTGCTAATGTTAAGTTTGACTTTTTATTATATTTTTATCTTATAGTTTCTTTTTTTAACTCATCTAATGCTTGACATTGCTGCTGGGAAAAAATTATTTCCCAATTTTAGATAAATCTATCTATCGTATTATAAACATTGATTATTAAAAAGTAAAAAAATCATCCTCATTATGAAATCCACGAAACCTAGGACTTGATTTTAGAAACGTTTGTCATTAATCTAAAAGTAATGTTTGTGATTCTGTTTTCTGTTCCCTAAACGCACCATCTGAGCCTATGGAAGCGGAGCAAAAAGCATTATGGGAAAGTGGGTTAAAGTTCAATCGGGGAAGAAGGCAAGTAAGGCAACGCTGTTCCCACAGTGGGGGCATGCTTTGGAAAGCATCTGCATCTAACTTGGTGTAGCTAGTGAGGATATCTCCGCAAACTCCACTGTTGTGCAAAAAACAAAGTTAGTGGGTGATATTTGTGTGCATATGAGGCGGGATGGGGGCTCCTGCACGCCGCAGAGCATTGTGGGGGCAGGGTTTACAGGGGTTACAGGTCACAACCCTCCTGGGTTCCTTTGACCAGCAGAGAGCGCTGAATGGGTCGAGGTGGGTCCATCAAACTATCCGCAGAGAAGCGTCCAAACTGGGACTTTAGCAGGAAAGGCTTCCCGTGGGACTGCGCCAGGAGACATTTTGGTGTGTGTGTGTGTGAGAGAGAGAGAGAGAGAGAGAGAGAGAGAGAGAGAGAGAGAGAGAGAGAGAGAGAGAGAGAGAGAGAGAGAGAGAGAGTCTAAAAAGACGTGCTTCATTAAAATCTTATTAACTACAAAATATAGGAAAAAAAGTACTTCCTTCACTTTCTATTTTTTTTTTTTTTGGATGTGAAGATGATTTCCATCCAGCAACCTGAGTGGGCCAATAACTGTTATTTAAACCATAGTGCTTATCTTCTTCTTCTTTAGTGATAATGAAAAGTCCGTTCTTGTAATGTTGGACCTTAAACTGTTACCCTTTCCACCAAACACCGATGCTGGCAGAGAGCGTAGAATGACAGAAACGTCGCCCCATTCACAGCCAACGTGTGATCTTTAAAGTCTTTCTCAGAAAACATGTCTATTTTAGAGATCGAGAAGTAAATATATTATTTTTCTAATGTATCTTCATGGTAAACGGCTTAAAACACACTCTGAACATTTAGTCCTGCATAGGTTTGGTTTATTGCCTTATTGTAAGCTGTTGTGTTGTACAGGGACTTTATTGATTTTTTTAGATTGGCAGTGACATACTGGCCGGGTCAGCACATAGCCATTTTTTGGTGATTCATAAGTAGTTAATAGGCCTTTTGGTTGCGTGTGTAAGGTCAGAAATGTTCCTGCAGTGCTGTGCTTGCCGATGCATTA